ATGATACTCAAAAGCCTTCTATAGAACAATGGAAGACACATATTCTGTCTTTAGAATAATCAAGAAAACCAGTAAGTTACTTGCTACTCAAGAGTTAATGTATCTCTGTGTGGGTTTCCGTTGTTAGATGTCTCATTATATTCAGTCTTCTTATCGTTGAAATTAATTCATCATTATCGTCAAGTGCCTTGCCAGCTGGCGTAGGCATTCCTGCATCTCCACAGTTGTCAGTCTTTGGTGTTGTGGATTAATTCTACTGATGATATTCCTCCATGCCACTGTCTTAAGCCAGCCATCATCATTTCTCTTGGTCTGCCTCTGCCTCTTCTACCAGTGATCTTTTCATTCATTACAGAATTTTCCACTCCTCTTCTTTATTGATCACATAGCCAAAGAACTTTGTCTCCTTTTCATTGTTGTATATAATGTTATAATTTCATTAGCCATATTCAGGCAGTTATTGTTAGTTAGTTAGTTAGTTAGTTAGTTGGGTTATCCTCATTGCACTCCGGACATGTCCATAGGTGCTCAGATCCTCCCCTCAGTATGAACCCCAACGTCCGATGGCTAATAGTACCAGTTCTATGTTGATTAACAAGTCTTCTGGCGTAGCTGGTGTGCGTCTCGTTTTTTGCTGTGCCGATCTTAATTCCCAAGTCTGCCATTCTGGCGAGTGATGTGGATTCACTGCCACCAAAGTCCTCTATTCTTCCCATTTCTCTGAGGGCATTGATAATATCAGCATGATCCATAGGCTGACCGTCGGTAGTGATAGCGGATTCAGCCAACCTGTCAGCTCTTTCATTTCCATTGACGCCTGCGTGTCCCGGAACAAAAATAAAGGTGACTCTACGATCAGTGGACTTCTGTAATGATTCAAGCCATTGTCTTCGCACTGAACCTGCCTGAACCCTCCGGATCATACTCATTGAATCACTGAGTATACACACGCGGGTGTATTTTGTGTGTTTTCAAGCCAGGCAAGCGCTTGTGTCACTGCCATCACCTCCATCGTCATGCTGCTGGTTGTCATGGAGAAGGCGCCGTTGGCTTCTTTGACTGTTCTGCCCGCTGAGCGTGCTGTAAATGCCCATGCGCTTCTTCTTTGGCGTATAAACGGATCCGTCTGTATAGATTATTGCATCTGCTTCGTCTGAATTTTCACCGATGAGAGCGTTGACCTCTGCATTAACAGCAACAGGATTCTCTTCTCTACATCGCCTGTTGAGTGTGACAATACAGGAAAATGTACAAATAAACGCCTGAGGCACAGGTATCCATTCTGCACCAGGTATGATGTCGGTTAGGCTGCATATTTGCCTAATAACATCTTCTGCCCGACCTAGCCACGATTTCCCCCTCTTCAGTCTGTCGCCCTTTTCACTAAAAAGCGCTTGATGCAGTGGGTGTTTCTTATCAGCGCATATTTTGAGATATGCCCGAGCCCTCCACATCCTGATCCTTTGGTTTATTGTTGGAAAGTCAAGTAGATACCTCATTGCTCCACAGGATGTGTCTCTAGTACATCCCAAAATAATGCGCAAAATAATAGTTATTGTTAGTTATGTTTGAACTACTTTTTCAAACTAATTTGAAGGTTTAAATCAAATGTTTTCAGGGATTGCCTGGTCCAAGAGGGCTTCAAGGACTTCCTGGGCCACCAGCTGTGTTTAATGTTAGCGATGGATATGTGACTGCCTTAAGAGGTCCACAGGGACCTCCTGGTCCTCCAGGCCCAATTGTAAGTAAATTCAGCGTTACATAACAGTATGAAGAGTGATGACTCTATATCATGTTTTAACTTTATAATTATATTTCACAGTCTAGTACCGCTGTCATTTATCTTTAAAACTTTCTTTTGAAGAATCTATGTGTGTTTACTGTCCTGGTTACCATCATCATCTTTATCATCATCATTGTAGTGAGTCATTTTCTCCCCATTAAGTTATGCCCGATAGATGACGTCAGTAATAAGGCGAATGTTTGACTGACTGAGATAACACGAGATTTATGTCTTGAGTTTCATGAGAGACATCTGAAAGTCAGGTTTTATGTGAAACATGATTGTTCATGTGAAACCATGAAGGTTGACTGGCAGGATTCATGAAAATATCACGGGCCAGACATCAATTCGTGATTAAATTATCATATTCGAGAACAGGACAGATCAGAGGGCTATATAATAGCGAAGAAAAGGTTTGTGAGGCAGTCTCGTTTAGGCCAAGGGAAAGGTGTACGTGTGGAAAGTCGGAAGAATGTTGTCGTCTGATTATGTGATTTCCCAATGCCTACCTGGCATAAAATAGCGGCTGACGGATCAGCTGTGAATGACATCATGAATTGTGTTTCTATTATGTTACAAAGGTATGATTGACTGTTTTAGATCATTGATTAAGAGTGCTACGGTTGTACATTGCAACAACAGCGAGTGAAAATAAACAGTATGTAACATCATCCATGTTTTCCTCGTTCTCGTCATTGGTGATGGAAAAGGATGCGGTGACATCTTTATTCATGTTATCATCATCTTTATCAATGTTGTCATCATCTTTGTCACCATCATCATCATCATCATCTTCAGGTTATTCAGTCTTGTGGCTCTGCCACTAGGGGCAAAAATACATTAACAGCTGAACTTTTTAGGAGAAGGAAGCCGCTGGTGTAGTAATAAAAGTAAAAAAATCGGCGTATCATGCGTTCATTGGGCTTATAGGGATAAACCTATGAATGTATAATGCTTTTCATGGGACTCAAAGAGTTAATGCCCTTCACTTCCGGATTGATCCAGCCTAAAATGGGTACCAGTTAAAGTCCTGGGAAGTAAAGATGGCCGGCGTGATGTTGACCACGTCAAGTGCTGATTTATGTGTAAAATTAATATCTAGCCCTAAATATCCAACACACATATTGGTCAAAAAAGGGTCGTTTCACTGTGAGAATAAAATCATCAAATACATGTTGATGGTAACAGTGGTCCCAAAATCACATGCACATTGTAGAAGACTTGTCATAAACAAAGCTGGTCTTGCCAGTCATGCTCACCATTACCATGGTCAGTGATTCTCATGCCACGCTCCCATGACCCCTGGTTTTTTTTTGTTTTTTGTTTTGTATTTTGTGTTTTTTGTTTTGTTTAGCCCAAAATTAGGAAATCAGTACTCTAAATTCAAATATTTTGAAGTTACCATTGTAATCACATTGCTGATCGTTAATTTCTGGGGAGGGGGAAGATGTTCAGCTGAACTTGATAATGACAGTGTGGTTTTGTATTTCAGTGACAGGATTCATTTTTATGCTTCATTATATGTTGGTTTAGCTCTGTAGTAATGCACCTGATGAAATAAGTGAAATTTGCCAGTGAAATTGTGCAATGTATTGTTTGTGTCCACATTGTTTACTTACAACAGGAAAATATTGTTTTAATTTTATGAAGCATCCCCTTCCCTTTCCTCCTCCTCCTCCTCCCACATCCAACATTGAAATTACTAGATGGATTATTCAAACTGAGATGCAAATCATATGCAGCTATGCCAATTAAAGTTTTTGAAGGAGTGTCCCAACACTGGATTATTCCTTCATCGATATTTCAAAACCCTCAGAGCCAACAAAAATCGTCTAAAAAAAGGTTGACAAACAACCGTACAGAATAAACTCTTCACAAAACTGGTCCCATCTCAAGCAGAAGCATAGTTTTGCACACCATATCACAAATGAAATAAGTTTTTAAGGTTACCTAAAATTTACAAGATTCTGCATAGAAATGGTTAACAAAAGGAAACCAGGAAAAATACATGCCTAACCAAGACACGAAGTCCTGAGAAGACCACAACCTCTGTAGTAGATAACCCCAAAACTATGTAATAAATTTTTCATCGTAAACACCAGATTCCAAACAGACGCCCTTGGGTGGGGACTTAAATTCTGCGGCAAACCCTGTATATTAACCACATTTCAGTCAAAAGCCCAGTTTGAAATACTGTTCAACGTGATCTTAACATTACCACCAACATCTATTGAGTTGATTGAGTGGCTCAGGGTTAAGCTGGTAGACAGAGCATCAGTATCATATAAAGCTGAATAAGCAGGCTTAACCATTAACCAAGATGGTGTTATTTTGGGACAAGTAAAGAAATTTAAGTATCTGGGCACATTGATAACATCAGATGTAAGATGCATAACTGAGATAAGAAACAGAATAAGACAGGAAAAAACTGCATTTGATAAAATGAAGCACATCTTGTGCAATATATCCTTGTCATTGAGAGTAAGAAAAAGAATTCTTGCTTGCTACATATATCCAGTTTTAACATATGGCTGTGGATACTTGACAATCGGTAGGCAGGCCAAACAATTTCTTGAGGCCTCAGAGATGTAGTTTTACAGAAGAAAGCTTAGAATACCTTGGACAGCCAAAAAATAGCAACCAAGAAGTTTTGAAAGAGGCGGGAGCCCAAAGACAACTTACCACAGACATCAGAAGGAGACAGTCATAATTTTTTGGCCATGTTATGAGAAGAGGAAAAATAGAACATGTTGTGACCACTGGAAAGATCTGTGGAAGAAGGGATAGAGGAAGACAACGAGAGAAGTTTCTTGACAGTCATATTGTATGGCATGGAAGTGTGTCTGCACATAAACTGATACCGGCTGCAGGAGATCACAGATTGTGAAGAGGCATGATCGCCCACTCAAGTCGGCAAGGCACCTGATGATGATGATAAATCATTAACCAAAGAACATATTGCCAATTTAAAGGCTAATGAACACTTGATAATTCTGAAGCCAGACAAAGGAAGTTGTGTTGTGATCATGAACAAATCAAATTACCAAGCCAGGATGTATGATACCTTTATGGGCTGCTGTAGATTCCAACTAGAAACCACGGAAAACAAATCGTGTGACATCTGGTTTGATCTGTTGTTGATGTCTTTAATGTAGATAATGATCATAAATGTGTTTATGTTCAGGGACCACCTGGACCTACAGGTATTGGTGCTGAGGGACCACAAGGCAGACCAGGTTTACCCGGACCTCAAGGTCTACCGGGCCTGCCTGGCCTTGGAATTGTGGGCCCACCAGGTCCTCCCGGTCCTTCTGTTGATTTTCCAATTGGTGGAGGTTATCGAGGTGGGTCAGGGTTGCCTGGACCACCCGGCCCACCGGGCCCACCGGGCCCACCAGGACCTAGTGTGGCTGGGGTAGACGCCAGAATTGACAATGCCAATTTGGTGAGTATTTTACATTTGGAAACCTTAACTTATGACCTGTATGTCAGAATAATGAATATGCCTGTGACTCTCTTCAGTATAATGTGTGATGCTTCAGTATTAGAAACAATATTAAATATATAAACTTTTAAATGGGTTCCAGAACCCTAACCTTGGGGGGAAAAAAAAAGGGGGGGGGGGGGGGGTATCTACTTCCCTTTAACAAACATGTCCTGAAAGGCAAATAATTAGGGGTTGTTGAAATCGAATGTGTTAGGTTGAACGGTGAATTAAGAATTGACATCCCTGCAATTGGGACATTCTCACACAAGCTCCGTCTCCATAATCAGTAGCCAGTGAAGAATTGATATGCTAACAGTATCAGCTGCAGCATGGTTAAAAGTCTATGTTCCTCCCTGAGTCTTGAATATCTGCCAAGCTCTCTGCTCTTTCTCTGCTGAATTAGTCATTCAAAGTATAGAAACATTATCCACTTGATCCCAGAGAACCACTTCTGCTTTCTTTATCATAAAGTAGCTCACCACCCATAGGAGCGGCAGTAGCTTGTTCATTATCCCCCACACACCCACATGTCTAATAAATACAATTCATGATGAGTCCCTGATCTGTGTCTTATCAAGCGATGCATGGAATACCGCTGAAAGGTGCACACATAGAAGAGGAACAACTACTTCAACACAGAGAAACCTGTGGGTGATCAGTTTTTTGTGTTCGTGTTTTTAATGGAAATTAATGCTGTTCATTGAGTGACAAATTAGTTTAGACAGCTAGAAGAAGTTGAAGCATTTTTTTAGGAAGAATCTTCAGAATGTCATGGAAATACAAGGGAAAAAAAAGTGTAGATGTCAAACTTTAATTAAATCTGCACGTTATCTGTCACTCGTAACAGTTCATGCAGCCAGCATAGTGCATTGGCCACACGGCCAGACACTTTAATATGGATCTAGCCTCCCAGCTCAACCTAGCCTAAACTGGGTACCAGGAAATGGGAGATCATAGCAAAAGCAAATGGACGCCACTTAGGGCAGCAAAGCCTTGCATATGATATCACAATGTCTAGTTTGAGAATGGAGATGAAGGCAGAATCAGCTGCACACACATGCCGTGATTATAACTGACTCACAGAGCATGTTAAGAAAGGTGAAAACAAGCATGCTTTGTGCAGAGTGGCAAGTATCCCTTCAGAGGTCCTGGGTAGTTAGAATCTTTTGGATATTTTCTCCAGGTCATGCCGGTGTGTTGGGAAATGAGCAGGCAGACGGACTGGCTGGTTCTACACCACTTGGTGGTAAATTGGTGTATGACAAGCCAGATATTTTTAGGGCCCTTTGGGATTGAGTGAACAGTGCGTAGTTGCAGATAGATCATTACCATCTGAGGAGAATAGCGCTGCGAAGAGTTAAAGAGGGATCTGGCTAACGCTCAACACTCAGGAAAAAGAAGAGAGGGATATACAATCAGATGGATACTAGTGCCATCGGTATTGGAACTCTTTGCTTGCTGCTGAAGATGGAGACGGAGCACTTATGGGAGTGTCCGGAGTGCTGTGATGTTGATTCCTTATTCAACAATCAATCAACAATCGACTAGATATATTAATTTAAACATCTTATCCTTATTACAGTTCATGCCATGTTATTCATCATTATCCGTTAATGCCATTTAAATTTGTCACATAGGGATCACAGTCTGTTCCTCTGTTCGGTTCTGTCTTGTGCAGTCTTTTCACAGTCAGGGAATGGAAACTACTCCAGCACCTTTGCCCTCTCTCATTAGTATTCTTCACAGAGTTTTTCAGGATGTCATTATTTCCTCAATCCATTTCTTCCAGTTTCAGTGCCTGCTTGGTGATTTTTGCTTCTTCTGAAGATGTTCCCAGATGTCTCCATCTTCTTTGACTTATGTGACTGATAATCGTGTAATTTGCTAACTTTATATGCACTTTCTTTTTTCTTTTTCAGGGAGCTGTGATCTACAAGGATTTGGAGTCCCTGTTGAAGGTATCACATAACTTGCCAGTTGGGATTTTGGCTTACATTACGGACCAGGATTTGATGTACTTGCGTGTTAAAGATGGATGGAGAACCATTCAGGTTTGCTCCATTTTTTTCTCTCTCTGTGTCTCTGTCAGAGAACATTGTTAAAAACATTCTGGTGTAAATGAGATTTTGACAAATTGAGGTCCAGAAATTAAACCCTTTTAATAGTTTAAGGGTTTAATCAAACTGCTGCTGTACCACCATCCACACTGGAACTCTTCGCTGGCTGCTGAAGATTGGGATGGAGAGCTTATGAGAATTCCCGAGTGCTATGGTGCCGGTTCTTAACTCAACCAGATACCTTAGAGAAGTTAATCAGTTAATGCAATCAATAGGCAGCTTAGATCACTTCCCCTCAAATAAAATGTATGCAAGCATTCTGACAGATTTTCAATTTCAGAATATGAACAATTTTGAGAGAAAAAAAAGACAAGAAATGAATGTATCTGACAAATGAAGGCTAACTATTAGCTAAATCCAATATAAATTACAAAGTTGAAAGAGCAGGTCAAACAGCAGTACACTTTAAATATCATCTTCATCATCCTGGTATTCTGTTTGTATGTCATATAGGGCTCGCAATCTATTCCTCCATTCTCTTCTGTCCTATGCTTTTTTTCGGGGTCAGTATGGAATCCAGTTCAGCACCTTTGACCTCTTCTATCAACATTCTTTTTAGGGTTTCTCTTAGAGTTAACTGTCTCAGTCTATGTGTTTCCCATTCTGATACCTGTTTTGTGATTCTCTGTCCACTTCTGCTCATGTTGTGCCCAGTAAGACACCACCTTCTTTGTCTTATAACTGTTAATACCAGTAGTTGTCCAGACATTTCTCTTATTTCTTTGATTTTCTTGAATTCATTTAACGTAATTTTCTTCACTGTCCTCAGACATTTGGTACCAAAACACCTGAAGTATGGAACACACACAAAATTTTTTATGAAAGTGCTATCAGTAGTACACTGATGCTGGCCCCATCACCCCAGACCTACCAAGAGCCAATTGGTATATAAAATATAGTTCAAGCCCTATGTGTCCAGTACCCCAGACCTACCAAGAGCCAATTGGTATATAAACTATAGTTCAATCCCTATGTGTCCAGTACCCCAGACCCAGCAAGAGCCAATTGGTATATAAAATATAGTTCAAGCCCTATGTGTCCAGTACCCCAGACCTACCAAGAGCCAATTGGTATATAAACTATAGTTCAAGCCCTATGTGTCCAGTACCCCAGACCTACCAAGAGCCAATTGGTATATAAACTATAGTTCAATCCCTATGTGTCCAGTACCCCAGACCCACCAAGAGCCAATTGGTATATAAACTATAGTTCAAGCCCTATGTGTCCAGTACCCCAGACCCAGCAAGAGCCAATTGGTATATAAACTATGGTTCAAGCCCTATGTGTCCAGTACCCCAGACCCAGCAAGAGCCAATTGGTATATAAACTATAGTTCAAGCCCTATGTGTCCAGTACCCCAGACCCACCAAGAGCCAATTGGTATATAAAATATAGTTCAAGCCCTATGTGTCCAGTACCCCAGACCCAGCAAGAGCCAATTGGTATATAAAATATAGTTCAAGCCCTGTGTGTCCAGTACCCCAGACCTAGCAAGAGCCAATTGGTATATAAACTATAGTTCAAGCCCTATGTGTCCAGTACCCCAGACCCAGCAAGAGCCAATTGGTATATAAACTATAGTTCAAGCCCTATGTGTCCAGTACCCCAGACCCACCAAGAGCCAATTGGTATATAAAATATAGTTCAAGCCCTATGTGTCCAAAACCCCAGAAGGCACGGAAAAGGGTCCTTTTACACACATCCAGTCATACACAGTGTATTATTATTTAGGACAGAGAGAGTTTAGCACTAACTCAACATTTGAAAGCTTTTAAAAGATCTTTTTCACATTCAGAACAGATTAATATTGTAATTTAGATGCTATATATTAAATACATTGAAAATATATTTACTCTTAAACATTGATAATATTTAAACATTGAATACTTACATTGTTTATATTCTCCACAGCTTGGTAACACCATCCCTAACCAACTGATACAGATAAATGTGAGTAGTTTGGGTTTCTGATGCGCATGATCAGTTTCTGTAAAATTCTAATTTAGTGCTACCTAGTTACTTTAATGTGACAGTTCATGAGGGGAAGTCGAAAATTATCTGTACTCCAGTTAAATGAAAATTTCTTTGTTGGCTGCAGTCTCTTAGTGCTTTTCATTAAAGGTCACTGTTGTGCAGGCGTGAACATGTTATGTCAGCTACCAGTACTGGAACACTGGCAGGAAAAAAAGCTTCAGTTATCAAATTTTCATTACACTGAGATGGCCACTTAAAAGCTGAAGTCTAGTCTTTGGATTAAATGCTGATGGCTACTTTTCAAGGACGTTGTGATCTATCATAACATTTCTTGTCCATTCATCTCTTCTTCTTCTTTCGTTCGCCTGCAATAAGTTGTCTATATCAGCAGTTTTGTCTCTTGTATAAATTTCACCGTTGTTGTTAATTCATTCAGTGGTCCATAGAGTTTACGTTCCACTGTTGTTCTTTCCGGTCAAAAGGTTTGCCTTTGCTGTGTCAAATTTGGTGCAGTCCTGGAGTACATGCTCTGCTGTCTGGGGCACCTTTCCACAGGTGAACATGGCTGATACGCCTATCTCAAATTTTGTGTACATGTGGTTACGTAATCGGTTGTGCCCTGTTGTGAGGAGGAGGATAATGACTTGTTCTGGTCTGTCCATAATAAAATAGTCATCTTGTGCTGGGGCTGGTGGTTTCCTGATCTATTTAATGATTCTTTTCTTTTGGTGGCATGTAACTGGTACATCCGGCTGCTCTTTTGTCGCACCTTTTCCTGCCAGTTGATCAGCTTTCTCATATCCACTGCATTACGACTCTTCGCTGAAGGCTAAGTTTTGTCAGCAGTGTTTGAAATTCTGGTAGTTT